AAGGAATAAGTAAAAATTATAACCACAGGAAAACCACTGCTAAATGAATATATTCAATATTTCACAAATTTCATTAGAAAAACCCCATAGTGATTTTTGCTGAACACCCATTTAGAATAATTTTAACCTCCTTGGCCATCTTAAAATATAAAGATAATGCTTTTCTTTTGATGGACACAAAAAATTGCTTCAAAGTCATGATTCTTGCTTTATCTCACATAGTAAAGCTATAGGTTTCATGATTGATTAAAAATAAACCTCAGGCCTGGCCGGTGTGGCTCAGTGGTTGAGCATCAACCCATGAACCAGGGAGGTCACGGTTTAATTCTCCATTAGGGCACATGCCTGGGTTGGGGGGGGGGGGGGGGCATGTAGGAGGCAGCCGATCAAAAATTCTCTCTCATCCTTGATATTCCTATCTCTCTCTTCCTCTCCCTTCCTCTCTCTGAAATCAATAAAAACATATTTTTTAAAAATAATAATAATAAAATAAAACTCAGAAATGTGTTTTTTTAAATATCTATGGAAAATAGAAAAGATATTTAAGTATTTTAATGCTCAAGGCCATTCTAGTTCATCAAGACCAGGGGTCCTCAAACTATGGCCCGGGGGCCACATGCAAATACAAATATTGTATTTGTTCCCGTTTTGTTTTTTTACTTCAAAATAAGATATGTGCAGTGTGCATAGGAATTTGTTCATAGTTTTTTGTTAAACTATAGTCCGGCCCTCCAACAGTCTGAGGGACAGTGAACTGGCCCCCTGTTTAAAGTTTGAGGACCCCTGATCAAGACCATCAAATAGAAGGGGCCATAATTTAAATAGTCCCAAAGGTAACTATAAATGTGATCTGGTGCCCTAGCCAGTTTGGCTCAGTGAATAAAGCATCAGCCTGCTGACTGAAGGGTCCCGGGTTCGATTCCAGTCAGGGGCATATGCCTGGGTTGCGGGCTTGATTCCCAGTAGGAGGCGTGCAGGAGGCAGCCAACCAATGATTCTCTTCATCATTGATATTTCTATCTCTCTCTCCCTTTCCCTTCCTCTCTGAAATCAATAAAAAATATATATTTAAAAATAAAATAAATTAATGGGATCTGGTACCAAAAGATGATAAAAGTAAAGAATATGCATTACAGTTTTTAAAGTCTAGGTGCATACACAGGACAGGCATGAATGTATACTGTCTTTATATATCCCCCTTTCTATTTCATTCTCAAGAGATATATCATCTCCACAACCAGGTCCATGAGCCCAATTACAATTACTTGTAACTTTTCTGAGCATAAGAAAACTATGAAGACTTTCCTAGGAAATTTCTGAGGTAAAAAGTTTTTAACTATTATTACAGTTCCTTTTCTTGATTTTACACTTATCTATACTTTCTTACATATTCGTCACCATGAATCTAGAGCCAAAAATGTTAATAAAACAGCTACAATGTGTATGGGGCTTCAAAGCCAGGTGATGCTTAGGACAACGCTTCATACCTAATCATCTTCACAAAACTTTAATAAGGCAAACCCTGCTCCCAAGTACCCTAATTCTAGCAGCGCACCAAACTGTCTAAACTAAGACAGCATCGCTTCTAAAAGGCATGAGCCTGGAAATCGTTGTGAACGTGGAAGACACTTATCTGGGTTTTAAAAGTAAACAAGGCCTCTGCAGGAAAGGTGGTGAATCCAGATGTGGGGATGAGATGGGCAGAGGTAGAACACTGAAATGTGCACTGTGTGTGTGTTTGGAGAATGGCCCCAAATCTGAAATATTTGAAGCAAAGAGACAAACACTTGTTGAGTAGTGGAAGCTGAGACTAGAAAAGTTAAGTACGTGCCAGATGATAGAAGGTTTTCAAAATACCCAGCCTAGGTGTTTGACAGCAACAATGAGTCCCAGAAGATAACAGAAGAGTAAGGAGACAAGCATAGCAATGCTTTGGGAAAATTAACCCCATGGTCATGGGCAAGATGGTTTGGATGAGGGGTGGGAAGGGAACACCAGTGTTACAATCCAGACTGAGGGTGAAGTGAGTAGGCCTTAGTGTGGTGGGAGACATGATAATGGGATCTAACAACTCTTATGGTGAAGGGGATAGGAGGATTCCAAAATAACACAGAAATGTGAACTTGAATGAGCAGGAGAACAGAATCTGAATGGTTTGTGGCGTCTGATTGTTCACATACTAGAGGAAAGTACATGGGCTAACATGAGCTGCTTTTAAGTCTCAAGGGCAAACTTACAGCCATAAAAATGATACTCACATGTCAATTCATCAGGAAACATGGCTTTCACTCAGGGCCAAATGCTGCACTCAGTTACCTACACACTGTTCTACTGAATCCACAAGAAATTACATGCCTAGAACTAATGGTAGATTAGTTGATACATCTGATAAGGGGTTACTATCCAAAATTTATACATACCTCATAAAACTCAACACCCCCCCCAAAAAAAACAATCCAATTGAAAAGTTGGCAAAGGACTTAAATAGTCACTTCTCCAAAGAGGACATACAGAAGGCCAATAGACATATGGAAAGAATACTCAGCGTCACTAATCATCAGAGAGATTCAAGTTAAAACCATGATGAGAGCACCTCACACCTCTCAGAATGGCTATGTCAATAAATCAACGAACAACAAGTGTTGTGGAGAAAAGAGAATCCTCCTGCACTGAAGGTGGGAATACAGATTGGTGCAGCCACTGTGGAAAGCAAAATGGAGTTATCTCAAAAAATTAAAAATTGAACTGCCTTATGATCCAGTGATTCCACTTCTGGAAATATATCTGAAGAAACCCAAAGCACTAATTCAAACATATGCATCCCTATGTTCATTGCAACATTATTTACAATAGCCAAGATTTGGAAGCAGACCAAGCATCCATCTGTAGATGAGTGGATAAAAAAGCTGTGATACATTTACACAATGGAATATTACTTAGCCGTAGAAAAGAAGGAAATCTTACTCTTCTCCACAGCATGGATGGACCTGGAGAATATTATGCTAAGTAAAATAAGCCAGTCAGAGAAAGAGAAACACCATATGATTTCACTCACATGTGGAATCAAATGAACAAAATAAACAAAGAAACAAAACAGAAACAGACTCATAAGTAGAGAACAGACTGACAGCTGTCAGAGGGGAGAGGGGTTACAGGGCTAGGTGAAAAAGGTGAAGGGATTAAGAAAAAATATCTCATAGACACAAACAACAGTATGGTGATTACCAGAGGGAAAAGGGGGTAGGGGGTGCAAGGAGAGGGTATAGGAGGAATACATGGTGATGGAAGGAGATTTGACTTGGGATGGGAACACACAACACAATATACAGAGGATGTATTATAGAAACATGCACCTGAAACATATATAATTTTATTGATCAATGCCATCCCAAGAAGTCAATACATTTTTTAATAAAATAAAATGACATCGTAGGGACTGATTTGCAACTTCTGCAATCTTAAACTGCGTTGCCTCAGATAATATTTTTAAGACATGGATTTTGGCCTTAGATGTAGATTTGTAAGCCAACAATGTGACCCTTCCTAAGATAAAAACAAGAAAAATGTAGAGCATTTCGTTCTGACTTTTCAAAACTCAAGAAGAAGATACTTCATCTCCACTGAGGCACCAGGAGTTTCATTCTCTGATACCCAAGGTACCGAGTGCATTGTACACTATTACTAATATTTAGCTTATTACTTTTTAAAGTAGTCATTTAATCGGAATTATGAAACATAATACATACTATGTACTAAATGTATGTACTATTTCATTTTCCTGAACATACGATATATAAGCTTTAATTAGTTTTTCTTAAAATAGGAACCACTACTGAAAAGTTTGATACCTTCTTATTTGTCAACAATGTGTTCAAAACTGATCCTGGGTAAATTCTTTCTTTAAATTGACAAAATAGACTCAAATAATTCCTTGTAAAATATTCATCTGCATCTTCTTTGATATTATCCTTAGGTTAGAATATTCATTCAAATTATGTTCCTTTAAAGGAACAAACTTATTATACAAATCCAACCGATGACAGATAACAGGTGTCAACTGTAACCACATCACCAATGTACAGACATAATTTTTGTTAGATTCAATATGAAATTGACAACTCTAATCAATTCTGAGAAAAATGCATGGCAATTCATGGAAGGGGAGAGAATATACTAGCAGATGAAAGAAGGACTTCCTTCACTGTTTGATAAATACACTACACACACACTCGTACAACTCAAGGAAGGATTTTTTTATTTTTTCTAATAGATTCAACTTCAGTTTTAAAAATCAAAATCTGTTTTATCTATGTACAAGCAATTCCCCAATTTGTTTTTTCTTTAAAAAAAAACACGCAAATAATATTCTCCTGAGTAGTTTGTATTCTGTAACTGCAAAAGCAGTGATTTAATACCCAGGCATGTTTTGTGCCTAGTCAGAAGCACTTGGGGTGGCTGTGATGTAACGAGGTCAGAGCCAGCACAAGGTGTACCGGTGTAATCAGAGAATCAGGCGAAGGGAAAAGCAGATAGCAGCAAGTCAAAAGTACAGCCAGACAAACACCCTGTAGGACTTCCTTCCCATTTACCACACAAGCTGTTCGGTTCGTTTCAATAAATGAAGCTAGTTATTTTGCTTCTAGGGAAAATACCCCTTCCATTGGTTAGCCATCCTAACTGTGAAAGGAGCTGTGAAATCGTCCCTTGTCATATTTGTTACCTGCCAAAGAATGATAACTTGGCAGAAACATTTTGATGGCCATTAAAACATCATAATCTTCGTGTTTAAAAAGGAATCGGTACAATTCTGAGAAAGACACGGTGTTTCTAGTTCTTTAAAAATAATTCCCAGTGATTATCATAATGCCCAAATGTGCTATCACATCGTGGAACAGTAAGAATCAAAGAAAACAGGCAACACAGAATCACGGAGAACTCTCTTCCTCTTGGAGCAGAAATTTCTTTACAGAATGAAAAGTCACTATTTATTTTGCTCTTACCTGATGGCAGCTCGCTTAGTCAAAGGGATGTCCTTTAGAGAGGTAGCTTATCCTTTGAAGAACCCAGTGGCTTGTCCCACAGCCCAAGAGAGAGACTGGAGTCCTGGAAAACTATCCAGCCCAAAAGAATACAGAGGGAAAAGCTTTTCCCACTTGCTCTCCCGGGACTAGCCAATAGCTGAAGTCATGCAGGAAACTGAGTGGAGAGAAGGGGAGAGCAGCTTCTTCGCCCTGAAATCCCCGGTCCGCAGACACTGGAGGCTGTTGTAGATCTCCCACCCAGACTTTTGTTTAAAAGTTTTTTCAACTGTTGCTAGGTGTTGTTGGGTTCCGAGATTAGGTTTCTCGTCTCCTGCTCCCTGCACAACACCGGCAGGGCAGGGACTTTGTTGAGGCGCTGGCTTGCGCGTGCTATATTTAACCAGTGTTCTCAGCAAGTCAAGCCTGTCAACAGCTGAGAAGTTTGGAGCCGGCTCTGCTCGGTTCCTCGGCAGCTGGGTTATCAGTGGATATAGCTCTGCTCGCCCCGTGAAAGATTGCGGGTAACCGGCCGTCCCTTTTAAGGGCTGCTGCTCCTTCCCCAGAGGGAATTACTAGTGGAAGCTCTTAAAGACAGACTGGGAGTCGGGACTTAGGTTTTCCAAGCGGAAAAGAATCAAACAGCCACAGTTGTCTTAAGCAGAGCATTTTACCAATACCATATTCCTCTCCATTAGGCTTTCTGAGATATTTGTTCCTACATTTAAAAAAAAAGAAAAAAAAAAGCTCTTATGTAAAAGTGTATCACAACTGTTGGGAACATTCACAGTAAGAGATTATTTCCAGACCGTTGTTTATATTGATGTGTTATATTCATAGCTAGGTGACTGACTTACCCAGGCATATCAGACTTGACCGGCTTATATGCCTGGATGTTATAAAAGCCAGGTTACCATAAAGGAATGCCTGTAACATTGTTTTTGGAAAGGCGTAAAGTGTAGTGAAGGACGCTCACTCAGGTCATTCATTCAAAGTAAGACCTGGAGAACACCCCCGGAAAACGGGGCTTGACAGCTTTGCCTCCTTATTAACCCTCCAGCCTCCAAAACCAGGGAAGGGTCGCTGCTACCCTGAACAACATGGAGAATGTCTCAAGATATTTTATTTGCTTTATGCTATATAATAAAATAGTGTGAATCTGCCAAGATTAAGACACAGGGGGAAAATGTGTTTTAACTAGTTCTTGGAACTGTCTTACTAATCCTATATAATTAAAGCCTAATATTGTCCCCTGGGGCAGTCGTTCAACTGGGAGTTCGACTGGGAGACCGGGAGTTCGACTGCTCACTATGATGTGTGCTGACCACCAGGGGGCGACACGGACCATGGCGGGCATCGGGGACGCGGCACTGGCAGCAGGCGGCAGTGGAGGCAATGCCGGGTTCAATGGGCCCCAACGAGAGCGGGACCACAGCTGATGGTGGAGCAGGTGAGCAGGCGGCACAAGGCCAAGGCGGGTGCAATCGGGGTCCCGATCACCCCGCCAATCTCCCCGCAGACGGTTACCAGCAGCGGCGTCAGGGGGTGGGGCCACTGCCCATCTCCCAGGTGCTGAGGGAGCCAAGTGGGGGGCCTAGCCCTAACTGATCACCCCACCGGCAGGATGGTGGAGCAGGTGAGGGGGTGGCCCAGGCCAAGGCGGGGTGCCAGGCGAGGCTGCAGGTCTGTGAGGCTTGAGGCGCGAGCTGGGGCTGCGAGGCTGGGGGCACGAGCTGGGGCCCAATCTCCAAAGGCCACCCTGAGGGACTCCACCCGTGCATGAATTCGTGCACCAGGCCTCTAGTCCTATATAATAATAAAGGCTAATATGCAAATAGACTAAACAGTAGAACAACTGGAAAAACTGAACAACCAAACAACCAGTCACTATGACATGCGCTGACCACCAGGGGGCGTGTGTGGAACATGGTGGGCGTTGGCCACAATGGGATGGTGGAGCAAGTAAGCAGGGGCACCAGACCAAGGGGGGCACTGGTCGCTGTCATTGGGGCAAGCCTCTAGTGGTTACTGAAAATACTTTGCTCCCAAGTGCCACGGTCCCGCCCAGCGCTCGCACCTGCTGCCAGCACCAGCCCCGCTTGCACCTGCAGCCAGTGCCGGAGCTGCTACTTGCACCCGCTGCCGGTGCCCAGCGCCAGTCCTGATCACTCAGTACCATCAGCGGGTGCGAGCGGCGGCTGCCAGCCCTGATCATCCCTGAGGGCTTCTCCACCTTCCCCTGCTCCTGAGAGGTGATCAGGGCAGCAGCCGCCACTCACACCCGCTGCTGGCACTGGCCCCAATCACTCCACGCCATCAGCGGGTGTGAGCAGGGCCAGCGCTATCAGCACATGGGAGTGGCAGCGGCAGGATCAGGGCTGCCGGCAGACCGGGGACTGGGGGCCGAGGCGGAGGGGCTGGGCAGGGACGCGGAGGATGGGCTGAGACCCACCCCTGTGTCTACCACAGCCCCACAGCCCACAGTTCCTTTCAAAGTGCACAAATTCGTGCACTGGGCCTCTAGTTACTTATATGAAATTCACAGTATGAGGAACTGAGAGAGATCCTTTTAGCCACAGATAAAGTAGGAAGTGAGACACACACAAACACACACACAAACACCAACATTGGTAAACACACTAGATTATTGCCCTACAAAAATCTCACCAACACCATTATAAAGGTGACACCCCCCCTTCCTGAGATCAATTTATCAGTTTAAAGATAACATCCTTTTTCAAGATGCAAACTGAAGTTGGATCAAGGAGACATTTCAAGGCATGAATTTAATAATATCTTGCCCAGCCAATGTGGCTCAGGAGGTCATAGTTTGATTCCTAGGCAGGGCACATGCCCAGGGTATGGGCTTGATCCCCAGTGGGGCAGCTGATTGATGATTCTCCCTCTCCCTTCCTCTCTAAAATCAATAAAAATATTTTTAATAATAATAATAATAATAATAATAATAATATCTTAACTGTTGCATACTTGCAATAAATGGCCTATGTGCAAGATAACCCTGATGTCTCTCTGGGAAGGCTACCACTTTTCACAAGGAGTATGTGTGTGTGTCCTTTTTAAAGAAATGACCCTCACCTTCGAGGATAGCTGACCCCCAACAGCTCAATCCAGTTCTTCCCATACCAGCCACCACACTAACAGCATTCATTTTTTCCTCTTAATTTATTTACTACTATTCACATATAAAATTGCATTTGTTCAGATTCTTAGTCTTTCTGGGTCTGGGCCAACCTTCATTTAAAAAAAAAAAAAGGCTTCTATTAAGATGAAAGCGTTCTTATGTGAAATTAACTGGCTCTTCTAGAACGCTAATGGATCTTTTAGAAACAATCTGTTCCCAGTTCCTCAAAAGTGGGTTCTGACAGGAAGTGGAAGTGTGACTGGGCTGAGAGATAGTTCAGAATCACCAGGAGAAACTTTTTTAAATTACAAAGGGGTAATGTCTGGGGAGATTATTGTTTGAAAAGTGCTCACACCCCACAGGCACATCCCATATGCAACAGCCCCAGGCTGAAATCCACTTCACTGAAAAGGACTCCAGGAATGTATCATTTCACCTCAACTCGGAGTTCACTTTATAGGTCTCCCATCCAAAATGAAGCAGAGTTATTTGTAGCCAAAGTCAAGATAAATGAGGGGAAGTAGCCCACTTTTGCCTCTATGGGCCTAAATAACTTCATCAAGAGGGTAATAGTTATTTCTTTCCTGACTATCCAGACAATTAGACTTTTCAGTATGGTTTTTTTAATTCTCTCTCTAATAAAAACCTAGTCCCTGATCATTGTTTTCTTTAACCCTTGGATTTTCTGTTCATTGTTGATATTAGTTTGTTTTAAACAATGTAGTGGCAGCAGCTTACAAAGTACTTTGTATAATTAGATACTATTGCTACCTTCAGATTATGTTCTTTAATTATTCTAGGCATATGCATTTCTCTGACTCTATTTCACAATAATCTGACTCCTCTCAGTCTCTCCCCTCATCCTCCCTCCCCCCTCTACACACACATTCTCTCTATATATAAAGTGAATCTATTTTGAAGGCTTTCCTTTCAGGAATGATTATTCAGACAAAAGCATTTCCTACATAATCCACAGAGGAAGTAGTGCCATTGAGAACTTTTAGAAATTTGTGTTTTGTATACAGTCAACAAGGAACTGATTTTTCAACACATGTTGTTACTGTATTTACTGTTCAGCTGCATTCCTTTTCCCACAGTCTTAAGGGTGAACATTATGAAAACGTCTGATAAACTTTCAACTAAAGCCGAATTCCCCAATTTCAAGGATGGGTCATGATGATGCTTTTTCATAAGAAGATAGATTAATGTTATCATTATCAGTGAGAAAAAAATCAAGTGAATTAAATAGGAGAGTTGGCATATTATCTCTACATTCATTTCTAAAACCAAATTTTACCACACTGTTCATTTAAAGAGGCATAGTGATTTTTTAAGTGAAAAATTAATAGATTATTGAATACACCGGTGAAGAGAAAGATAGACATTGGCTTCAAAATGATGTTCAAGGAGGAGGGGTTAGAGAGGAGTTTCCAAACAAACATGCCCTGTTATTGTTTATTGTCTGGCTTTAAGATTTAAATATAAGCTCCCATGTAGCAGGGAGTGTTTCCCATTTGCTCTTTAATGAGTGCTCAAGCACCACAGTAATTGTGCAACAAATGGGAATGATTGTGCAAATGAACATATAAAAGATTTTTTTAAAATTTCCCAGACAGTGTGGCTCAGTAGTTGAGTGTTAACCTATTCACCAGGAGGTCACAGGTTTGATTCCCAGTCAGGGCACATGCCCACAACCCAGGAGGTACAGGAGGCAGCCAGTCAATGATTCTCTCTCATCATTGATGTTTCTATATCTCTTTCTCTCCCTTTCCCTTCCTTTCTGAAACCAATAAAAAAAAATTTTTTAAGATGAAGAAAACTTTGTAAGCTTATGGAAAATGCTTCTAGGAGCCCAGGACAGAATTGGGTTTTTACTGGCTGCATATTACAAGTTGTAGAAAGAAATTCTTAGATTGTAAGTTAATTATTTTTAATTTTGGTAAAATTTCCAAGGAAAGTAATATATTTCAGGATAATAATAAAAAATAACTGTGCAAGACTAGCTATATGCCCAGCAGAGTTCTAAGGGCTTGACATATAGTAACCCACTTAATTTTCACAATAATCCAATAAGGTAGTTATTATTATCATCTCCCATTTTACAGGCAAAACAAAACAAAAAACTGAGGCACAGAGTTATTAAGTAACTTGACCAAGATCACATGCTATAGCAGAACCAGAATTTGAACTAGGAAGTCTGGTTCCCAAAATTTGTGTTCTGAACCACTTAACTACCTCTTACATTTAATAGTCACATTAGCCCATTCTTAGGAATCACTGAGAGTCATTACATAGAGATTTGCTATACCTGAATATATATGCTTATGACAAAAAAAATTTAA